ATAAAGTTGTCACCAGTGTTTTGAAACTGAAAAGAATACAAAAGAAAAATCAGAGTGCAGTAGTCTTGTTTAAGATTTTTATATATTTCAAAAATTCTACATGTTCTATTTGGTCATATTTTAATGCATATTTATTTCTGAAGTTTTTGGTAAAAGGATTTGAAAGTTCTTACTTCAGTAGGTTATGTGTATGAAATCCTTGTGTTTTTTAAAAGAGACACTAAGTGTATCTTAATGCTTAGTATTGTGATTTAATAGGTAACCTAAGACAGTTATATAAACCTTAAGTAATGTTTTGATTAGATTTTGAAAAGCTATAGGGAAGATAATGGAGATGGAAATATCAATTAATAGTTTAGACTATAGGTAAAATATGGGCTTCTTAATTTTAACTAAGTCAGTGGAAGTAGGCATGGAAAGAAAAATATTTTAGAACCATTTGGAAAGCAAAGATAATGAGCTCAGCAGTGAATGGAAGAGAGTGTGTGGGTAATAAAACAACAAAACATCAAGAAAAACCTGTTGGAAATGTGCTGGGTCTCAGAGGTTACAGGTAGACAGGTGGTTTTGGGATTCATTACCTTAAAGGTATGAAAGTGAATGAAGCTCTGAAGGAATAATGTATAGAGATGAAAGCAAGATGAGAACTATAGGCTGAGTGAGGAAAACTATGACGTACAGATTGTCTACAGATAGATCCAGAACTGAGGAAGGGACTCAAGTCTGTTGAGTATCAAGCACTGTGCTCTATATCCTTTATGTTTGTTTTTTCTGCTTTTCTGAATAATGTACTACATTGCATGTAAATAAATTGAATTAGCTGATGTATCTGGAGTAATACAGAAATAGTAGAAGTTGGAGTTGAATTCAGATATAAAATTTCATACCCTTCTTCCAGTTACAATAATACATTGCTTCTAAGACAGCAGAATATCTTTTAAATGGAAGTGGTTAATATTTGCAGTAATTATAGTTTACATTATTCAGGACTGACTTACTGTACACCATTAAACTGTATACAGGAGTTATCCCATGTAATAATATTCACAACTTTTCATATCAACTCTCATTTTGCAGATGAGGAATCTGGGGCACAGAAGGAGGTTTGTCAAAGGTTGTCAATATATTAAGTAGTAAAATTGTGGAAAAATAAGGGGAAAAGGCTCCATTTTTGATAGGAAGTTGTTGACAGTGTTATTTAGTAACATTGTACAAAAATAATAGTACTGATTGAACATTTTCTATGTATCAGGCAGGCTCTGTTCTTCATTTAATTTTCATAATGACTTAATATACATAATCCCTGTTTTATAAAATAGGAAACGGTTGCATAGAGGAGTTGAGTTATGAAATGTAGTGTAGGACCTAACATAGAAAGACTAGTTTTGGAGTTCCTCCTCTTAGGAGTCAACAAACTAGGGCTAATGGGCCAAATGTAGCCTGCTTTCTGTTTGTTGCAAGTTAAATTTTATTGAAACACTACCATTGTTCTTCGTTTATGTTAGCACCTATGGTTTCTTTCAGCAGAGCTGAGTAGTTGCAAGACCATAGGGCCTGAAAACCCTAAAATGTTTAATCCCTGGTCCTTCATAGTAAATGTTTTTCAGCACTTGATAACTATTAAAATAGGTAATAAGTGAAATCTTGGTGAATTCAGGATTAATTTAGGAGTGAAAGTATTATGGGTAATACAGCATGACCTATTTGTAGACGTTTGCTAGTGAAGAAATAGTAAACTAGATTGGATTGTAACTTTCAGAAGAAATATGGTAAAATAAACATTTTTTTTTTCCACCTTGGAAAGATATGAGTCTTGAATATAAAGAAAAAATAATAATTGAATAGAAGAGAGTGAAGGATGAAAGTAGGAATAATAATAGTATAGAGTTCTGGAGAATATAGGAGAGAGTGGGAAAGTTATTGGAAAGGAGCCAGGCTTCTTTGAAACGTCAAGGAGTAAGAAGAAATATTAGAAACATAGGGCTATTTTAAATTGGAGGCAAAAGTAATAATAGGAATTTTCATTAGGTAGCTGCAAGCTCATTAAGTAGAGAAGGAAAATTGTTCAAATAGTTATCTTTTCAGTACTTAAAATTATTATAATTATTATTTTTAATCTCCTCTAGTCATGTTTAATGCCATGGCGTATACTTACAGGAAGAAATAATTACAGACTTTTGGATAGTGTTATAAAGTTTTTTTTCCTTAAAGTCTAACTGGTCAAAGTTAAGAAATATGATTAAGCTTTACATTTTGATGCTATTATGTGCATATCATAATTTAAAGTACTTTCCAACAAAAAATTAAAAACAGCTTAACTGGGGTATAATTGTTATGCATAAGCTGTTCATATTTAAAGGATACAATTCATTAAATTCTTCCATATATATATATGCCTGCAAAACCATCATCATCAAGATGTTTGCCCTATTATAATTCCTCCCTTTACCTCACTTCCACCTGCCCTATTACAAATTCTGTTAAAAATACTATTTTTCTTTTTTTTTTTCTTTGAACCATGGGTTTTTAGCAGGGTGTTAGTTTCCAAATATTTGGGATTTTTTCAGAAATCTTCAGTACTTATTTCTGTCTTGCCTAATTGGAATACTTTTAAACTCATTGAGACTTGTTTTATGACCCATAATATGTTGGTAAATATCTGAAAAGAACATGTTTTGCTGTTACTGGATAGAGTGACCTATACATGTGCTGTCAAAGTAGTTGATAGTATTGTTTGAAGCTTTCCTATCCTTATTTTTTGTGTTCTGTCTGTTATTGAGTGGGTTGTTGAAATTTCTAGCTATCACTAATTTCCTTGCCATCACAGTTTGTTATTGCAGTTCTATGAATTTTTGCTTTGCTCATTTTGAAGGTCTGCTTGTTAGATGCATAAATGTATATAGCCTTATGTCCTCTTGAGGAATTGATTCCTTCATAAGTGTAAAGTGACTTTTTTTTTAATCCCTGGTGGGCTTTTGCTTGAGAATGTACTTTGATACTAAGCAGTAAGCTGGCACATTTGTAAGCTTATTATGTTTTATTTCTTATCTGTCGGGGATTACTGCCCTTTGTTGCCTTAATGTGGTGTTTTGAAAATTGTTTCTTAAATTTTGCCCACGTTTTATTTTTGTTTTTAGTTGTTTCAGGCAGAACTACTATAATCTGTTTCTCCATCTTGGACTAAACAGAAATCTATTTTTTAAAGTATTTTCAGTGATTCCTAAGTTTTTCTTTTTCTTTCTTCTTCTGTACTGGGTATCGAACTCTGGCCCTTTTGCTTGCAAATCAGGCAGCAGGACCACTGAGCCAAATCCCTGGCCTCCGCTAAGTTTTTGTTTGTATTAGAAGTATTTATTAGAGGTTTGTATTAGAGAGTCTAATTAGAAGTATGGGCTTTAGTCCCCCAGATCTGTGAAGGCTCATAAATGTTAAGTGTTGGCTTTAATTTCATGGAATTTATAGGCTTGAGGTTTAATTCATTCCTACCTAGAAATTCTTGCTTTCCAACCCAATTTGCATATTAGAAACAATTGGGAGAGCTTTTGAAAAAAAATACCTGTGCTTTACTATAGACATGTGAAATCTAAATCTTTGGTGATGGGATCAACTTTGTTTTAAAAAATTCCTATCCATGATTAAAAACAACTGGTATAGCAGAAGATGCCTTCTGACATGTGGCTTCTCTTCCTTTTTGGCAAGGATACTAAAAAGACTAATTCAGGGCAGGGAACCAGCATGCTAAACTTTAAAAAAACACCAATTCCACCTTCAAACTTTGTTTTGATAAATTGTATTTGGGCTTTTAACAAGAGTGCATCCAGAAGTTAACAATTTTTTTTCAAGTTACGTTTCACAGTTTGCATTAACAAAATGCAGCCTGTCACTCTATTTTTGTTGTAAATATAAGGCATCTGTGTGACATTTAACATGGACCTCAAAGCAAGTTCATGTTCTCTAAAATCACAGAATGAATTCAAGGAACAATGGAGGTTAAGAGTAGGAAAAATTTATCGAGGGAAAGAAACCTCTGTCTAAGACAGAAGGAGAACCAAAAAGTGGGTTGCCCACTCACCCCACTTCTCCAAGATGTTTGATGCAGCAAAGCCATGTGGTGAGGCGGGTAAAAAGTGGAACTAAACTATAAGACCTAATGGAAAATTACAAGGTGGGCATGAGGTGGGACAAAACCATGACCAACCAATAAGATTACTAATACAGTCACCCAGGTAATATTGATTAAGTGGGGGTCAAATGGAGCAAGTCACATAGCAAGCCTACAAGGGTTTTCAGTAAGGCTGAGGGTCAGGGATATTTCCTATAAAGGCTGGGCTAAGACCTTGCCCTACCCACCCAGGTGATTGATACCTATTTAGAATACTAAGACTGTAGATCAGTAGGAATTTAAACTTTATAAGGGAGTGAGGTTTTACAAATGTGATATGCTGCATTACAGGTTTTATGATATGTCACATGTATATATGACTTCAATAATAGGTAGTTCATAGTATGTATATACTTCAGTGAGTCACAGTGTAGTTCGTTATTTTTTAAAATGCCAAGAAGTCAGGTATGGTAGCAGACACCTAAAATCCCATCATACTGCAGGGCTGAGACAGGAAAATTATTTCTTGGTTCAATCTTCAGTACCAGTAAAAACAAAACAAAACAGCCAGCCAGAAAACAGAAGAGAATAACACAAACCACTGCTGTAGCATGGATTCCTGTGACTCCCAGACTGATTTCACATTAATTCACTTTTCAGATATGTGAAGTTATACAGTGTATATAGTAGTCAGTTTAGAATGCCAGCTACTTTTATGCAAACTGATTCTTTTGTATGTTCTTCTTAATGATGAACTTGAAATTTCTGTCCATTTTGTATATTAGGCTTTTCAGTATCCCAGTCTTTTAAGGTGAACTTTTAAAAGATTAAATTGTTTATATAAATCTTCTTTCACATATTTTTTCCTTTACTTATTATAACCAACCTTTCCCCATAGCTGTGAACTTAACAGAAGTTAATGAAGAAAATAAAAACGATCTATTCCGAGAAGTGTCTTCTTCCATTGAAACTTTGGCACTTACCTTTGGAAATACGTAAGTGGAGGACCGTCATTTAAATAAATGGGCCTGAGATGTCTTAGAGTATATTGCATAATCCAGTAAAAAAAAAAAAAAAATATATA